TCAAGAGATTATCTTAAGCAGCACGTCACTGAGCGACTGCAAATTATTTGAGACAAGAAACGTAAGAAAAGGAACGAAACTTTATATAACCTCTAAATGCATAAAGCATTTCTGCAAAGAAAATAATATATAGGTTTACTACACCTGTTGAGCTCTGATTTTTAGGAGAAAAAGTATGTCTTTCAACTAAACAGTATAAATTCTAAAAGAATAAGTCCCATCAGTCGAGCTGCTAAGACTCTAATGTGTCTGTTATATTGTCAACTGAGTGAAACTATATTATAATAAAATTGCCACTTTTCAAATCATCCTTTCTCGTTCAGCAGTTCGGGAAGTTGCCCAGAGGCAAACTCTGTGCCCTAAGAGCTGTGCCCGGCACCCATGAGACTCCCGTCCTCATTCTAGATTTCTCATTACACCGGGAGCCACGCTAAGCAAGCACAGCTGAAGAAATACTTCGATGAAAACAGAAAAACCAGTTTCTGAATAAAGAGCTTGAAAGTTTGAAGCAAACTGAAGAAATACTCAAAGTGCTTTAAGGTTACTGATAGAGCCACCTGTCAGCAAGCACAAATGCAGAGTACAGTGGAGATGACTATATTAGGTGTTGAATTCAGTGCACAGTTTGCCCGGGTGCTTGTTTTTGCCTCTGGAGCCTGAACACCCTTTTCAAAAGCACCTGGGATGTCAAGGTGATGGAAATTAGACAAACACACCCCATGGCAAATCAATGGGGTCAGGGTACGGCTGGCGAGTGTGGCTTTGCTGCTGTCACTGAACCTAACAAAACAAACACCCGTTTGGCAACTGTCATGTTTTAGTGCTTGCGCAGTGCAGGACGGGAGCCCCGGGGGGGGGGGGTGGTTTGGGGGGTGGGGTGAGTTATGATGAAAAGCAAAAAGACTTCGGTCAAAATCTATCGTTTCCTTTCTGTAATACTTAAGTGCTTCCAGGATCCCATTAAAGGGTGAACTTGGAAAACCAGAAGCTCACTTTGCATTCAGGTCTCAGCTGCCTGGCACTGACTATAACAGGGATTTTGTGTTCCATCCCAGACAGAAAACAATCAATATTTTTCTTCAAATTCACAAGCTTTTCTCAGAGATCCAGGAACTCTTGGCTTCTATTCCCACGGCCGTTTAAGGTGAGGCGCTGGGCCATTCACCTGTGGATGGCAGGTTCTTCATCGCTGAGCACAGATCTCTAAAGATCGAGAAAACCTTTTCAAGTTCAAAACTTCAAGTCCTTTTCACGTGTGACCAACCAAACACCATGATCGTGTAAATTATTTCTCATAGTGTTAGTGTTTCCCAAAACCTGAAGAGCAGCACAAAGTTTTACTCCCTTGACTGTTGAAATCCACTTAAGTATTTCCACTTAAGAATAGATTTATAGACGCTGACAATCAAGGGAAGGAAGAGGAAGCCTGTCCCCCTATGGAATTAGGAGCCCAGGTCTTATTCCTGACTATAAGAGAACAGCCCAACTCTACCTGAAGAACCTGCTGGCAGAGCCACCGCTGCTAAATGCATTCACGTTAACTCACTTTAATCTGGTTAGAGAAGTTCATGGCAGCCTAAACTTCCATTATTCCACTGAGATCCCATTAAATGCCTCTCTGTTCTCCCTTGTTCCTAGATGACCACAACACTCCAGTTAAACCTGTTGCCAAAGCTGTAGGTGGAGAGCCACCTGTCACCTGTGTGGTTGTCCAATAAAACTAAAGGAGACATATCATGAGCGAACACACTAAGACAACTGGCATTTCGGGCTGAAGGCTTAAGGGCCTTATGCAACGACCATGAATGACTCCCAGTGGCTGCACTTCTAAGGAGCCTTTTGCATACAGGATTCCTCTTGCAAGCAACTGATAAGAAAAGTTTCATCCCAAGAGGCAGGCAGGTGTTTGCAACAAAGACAAGAGACTTTAAAAAATAAAACAATCAGCAGCAATACTCATACACATACACCCCCTCCCAAGTAGAAAGTCAAGGCAGATGCCAAATATGAGACCTAACCCTTTGCCAAAAAAAGCCACTGTCCTACTCTTCCTGGAATCAAGGCCTTACCCCAAGAAGAGTTTTTTGTTAGTGATATACGCAAGACTGGATGGGGACTACCCTACTAACTTAGTATATTGAAAGTTAAGTATGGAGACCTGGCGACTCAGTTGGTTGGAGTGTTCCATAGAAGAAAAGATTAAAGATTGTAGTTTCTGTTCTTGCTCAAAAGACATACCTAGGTTGCAGGTTCGATCCCTGGTCAGGGTACATATGGGAGGCAACCAATTAATGTTTCTCTCTCATGTCAATGTTCCTTTCTTCCTCCCTACCCCTCCCCTCCCTCTCTGTCCTCCTGCCTCTCTAACATCAATAAAAACATGTCCTTGAGTGAGGATAAAAAAATAAGTTAAGAAAAAAGTTAAGCATGGAAAGATGGTGCAAAAATATATAAAAAGCAAACTTTTTCCAAGACCTGTCCCAGACACTGCAACCCCTTTATAAGGAGGAACCAGGGCATGAGGTCAGACAGAGAAATGGAGGTCTTCATTCTTATTGAAAACAGCCTGACATTGTTCATGATTCATGAAGCCTCCTCTCTTTAGGGTCCTAAATGCAGCTTCAACAAATCAACTGCTAGGCTGCTTTAAAAGTAATCACAGCTTTTTGCTGTTAAATAATCTACTTTCCTAAAAGCCAGAGCTGCTTGCATCTTTTGGGTGGACAGAAAACCATGTGGTAGGGACAGAAGACAACTTCAGGACAGTGATTACCCCTGGAGCAGCAGAAGGAAGAAAAGGGCTGGAAGGGAGGATGGGTAAATGAATCTGCCTAAAAAATAAGAGGCCTGAAGTAAGTAGGTTTAAACGTCAACATCTGTTCAATCTGGGTGATGGGTACCTAGAAATCTATTACACAGACATATATTTTTAAAATTTTCTGCACATCTGAAGTACTTTATAATACAAAAATTGAAGTAAAACATTTTAAATGTGAAAAGGAGACACAGAAGGCACTAAGAAAATGCAGGCTGGTGCCTAAGCAATGGGTGTTAAAGTCCAGTCACCCTCCTTTGATTAAGTGTAATTGCCAAGCAACACAATAAATACACATAAGCCTCCTGGGAACACTCGAATGCAAGATAACACACACTAAAGTTAGAACTCACTTTGTAGTTTTACATTTTATCACCCATAGTCTTTTGATATAAATCTTGCTAACAAAAAGCACATCCCTACATTTATCTTTTGCCAAATAAAACGCATTCCCATATTTGAAGTTATACTGAAGGATATGTAGTAGTATTTGAACGTGCACTTGCGAATCTAAATGAAAACCAAACTGCAGGAGGCGTCGTAAGTATGGCAGCCTGAGTTTCAGCACTAAAGTTACGTTGGATCAAAGCGTAAGTGGCACATTCTGTTAAGGGTCCAGAGAAAAACAGCAGGATTTAGGCCTGTGCTAACAAACACAGATGCTGCCACAGAGAGAGAACTGAAAAAATCCACAGGATTATTCTTGAGGATTCTCTGCCAAATGATCCATACCAATGACGGAATGACAGCCATTTAATGCCACCCAAGCCTCATTGGGCCTTGTCCCCAGTTTTTTCCAAGTATTTGCTTTGAGATATATATCATTAGATTAGCGTATAAAGCCACCAATATGTCAGTTCTGTGAATAGGCATTACCACTTCACCACATGCAAGCATCACAGAAGTTACAAACTATTAGTATAGAAGCCAAGTCAGGCCCATAGATATTTTGTTGGGTACACATATTGTTTTTAAAACTTGAATTAGAATAATGCTCATAAAAGGTTCACGACAGTCCCCACACTCCCCATCCCCACACACACCAGCATCACTGTTCACACTACTTGTCCTGGCCCTGCAGGTATTTTAATCTGTGACTTAATACTCAGGGTGCCATGCCTAGGAGGCAGTAGAACTGAGTGGATTCTCCTTAGAACCAAATTCAAGGGTGGAAGAGGGACAAGGAGAAAGAGCTTGGTTTCTAGAACTCCGAATTCCAACACAGGCTGGCAGAGGGGAGGAAGAGCCCGAACCAGAGGATATCTTCACCATCAACATACACCCATCTCCACGGTCTTGCTTCTGAGCACCAACCAACGTACACAGCTCCTTTTCTTATGTTGCTAGGTTCCCTGAATAGATGAGATCCCCGACTCTGAACAACACTCATTTCTGCTGAAAACTCACCTCTGCTCTCATATTGCCTAAGGACTCACAGAGGTGTGCTGGCTTGTTTCTTGATGCAACGCTCCCAACACCCAAGCCAACCATGGGAATTCCTTTCTACTCGGTAATGCATCAGATGCCCACAGTGGCTGTGCCCATAGCAAGTAAAGGAAGCATCACACTGTGACATCTGTTAAGCCAAGAGGGATAGAAATGATGGCTGAAAACAAAAGATGTCTGATGCAAAGAGGAGAAATTACTCAGCCAGACAAAAGTCAGTGCGGAGACACTCCCACACAAAAGATGCACCGAGAGAGATGGAAGAGAACGCCATTCATTAATCAACTTCAAAAAAATACAAATGTGTCTACATCAAATGAGATTTCCCGGGAAGCACTCTAAGCTCCCTGTTGTGCACAGAGAAATACTAGTATACATACATACACACATGTGTATATGCAGCCATAATCATAATCAAGTTCAGGATAGATTAACTTACCATTACATATACACTATATAAAACAAATGAGAAGAGATACTGAATAGGAAGAATTTCCAGAGTTCATAGTACATCAGTCTCGAGGCACGTTATCAAAACCTAATTTTCCTAATCAGTAGTGTCAAAGTTCATATTGTCACATGTGCCTGAGAGGTTCAAGAAACACTGCGCAGTCAAAGAAGAGTCTTACTCCTTAGAGTTACAGGACTATTGGCAGAAAAATGTAAAACTACATTCCCGCCAAATTTACACAGCTTGGTGTTTCCCCCTCTGCAGACAGAAAAGAAGGCAAACACTCACAGCAGAGAGCTGGCTCCACGTGGACCGGAGTGGCTTGTGCTGGATCACAATTTTTTCCTCCGACTTCTGTTCTCTGGGCTCAGACTCTTCATCAGAGTCAATGTCAAGGGCCTTTTCTTTGTAGTTCTGGTACAGGACAGCATTTTCTGCAAGAAAAGCCAACCCAACGTGTCACTAATTGACCCCATCATGATGCTACCTGTTCTAAACAAACATCTATATTTATACAATGTTGAGTCTCCAGTTTAATAAACGATGAAGAGACAAACGGATTTAAAAAGTGATTTTCTCACTCACACAGCCCTGTCCCAAATCCATTCATAGGGAAAAGGGAGGGGCCCTTACATGAAATGCCAACTAAAGCAAAATTCCCATGTCTATCCCACACTACCCACGAAGGATAGTCATACCTGTTAAACGGATTTTTAGGTTCAATTGAATCCACACCCTACCTTCCCTTCAAGGTCCATCAACATTCATTTATCTGCTTAACAACCATTTACTGTATGTACATCCACAATGTGCCAAGGACTGGGAGTAAATAGAAAATAAAAGACACTTCTCGTGCCCTCATGAGCTAAAAGCTTTATGAGAAAAATCGTCAAAGTCGCTCATTCATTTATTGGTTTAACTGATATTCAGAAAATGTCTACTAGATGCCAATAATTACTAGGCACTGGGGATACAACAGTGAGCAAAACATGTAAAAGTACCAGTCATCATGGAGCTGACATCAGAGTGAAGGGAGAGTGACAATAAATAAACAAATAACTTAAAAATATGTCAGGTGCTGCCCTGGCCAGTGCTGCTCAGTGGGTTGGAGTGTCATGGGTATACTGAAAGATTGCGGGTTCAATTCCCATTGAGGGCACATACCTAGGTTGTGGGTTTGATCCTTAGTCGGGGCATGTATGGAAGGCAACCAATCAATGTTCTCTTTCTCATTGATGTTTCTCTCTCTCTTTCTCAAACCAATGAGCATGTCCTCAGGTGAGGATTAAAAAAAAATGTGTCAGGTGCTGTTAATGGTCATGGAGAAAAATAAAACAAGGAAAGACAGGGAATGTTATATGCGGGAGGTATGTAGATTTTAAATAGGGTAATTTAAGAAGGCCTCCCCAAGGTGACATTTAAGCAAAGACTAAAGGTGAGAAAGCAAGCCACCATTCTAGTGGGGAAAGAACATTTCATCAGAGGGAATGGCAAGGACAAAGGCCCGGGAGCAGGACTCCGTATGTACAATCAGCAAGGAGGCCTGTGTGGCTGGAATAGGATGAGGGAGGGAGAAAGTATAGAAGATGGGAGATTGGGGATGAATAAAGGGCAGACCATATAGGGCCTGGCCTCAATGCCATGAAGACAACTTTAGTGTTTTCTCCAAGTGAAAGGCAAGTCACTGTAGGATTGAGGACACAATGATCTCGTACAAATACAGACCAACACACGGAAAGATTTATATACAGGTACTCTGAGAAAAGACTGTCAGCAGCGTGTGATCTAGTCTGAGGGTGAGAGGTGTCAGTGAGGAAAATCTAAGACCAGAAAGCTGAGATGCCACAGAGCTAAAGGAAAAAGTGCAGTATATGCAGAAGTCCTGAGGCAAGTGAAATACAGTACCTTAGAAGAACTAAGGCAGGTCAATATGCCTCAGTGGGTGTCTAGAGGACAAAGGGTGCAAGCTGAGTGTAGGGAGATGAGCCAGACAGTCCAAACCAAGCAGAGCTTTGCAAGGAATTTTAAAAAACTGAATTTGATCCTAAGGACAAAGGAATGAGTTTCTTTCACACTGTACAGCTTGTATGATGGCAAGTCTAAATGATGCATCCATTAAAATGCTTTTGAAAAAGTAGACCTGGCTGGGTGGCTCAGTTGGTTGGAGCATCGTCCCATACACCAAAAGGCTGTGGATCAATTCCTGGATTCAATTCCCAGTAGGGCAGCGGTTCTCAACCTGTGGGTCGCGACCCCTTTGGGAGTCGAACGACCCTTTCACAGGGATCGCCTAAATACATCCTGCATATCAGATATTTACATTACGATTCATAACAGTAGCAACATTACAGTTATGAAGTAGCAACGAAAATAATTTTATGGTTGGGGGTCACCACAACATGAGGAACTGTATTAAAGGGTCGCAGCATTAGGAAGGTTGAGAACCACTGCCGTAGGGGCACATACCTAGGTTGCAGGTTCAATCCCCGGTTGGGGTGCCCACCACCAAAAAAAAAAGAGAAAAGATTGTATTTTGGTCCTCATTGCCATGGGAACGCACTGAAAGGGAAGATTTTATTAGATCTTTAGGAGCAAAACACTGACTACTTAGGGGACTAATGAGGATGCTACTGAAGTAGTCAATGAAAGATAACGGAGCTTGGCCTATGCAACTTAGAAAGGACTGGGAGCCCTAACCGGTTTGGCTCAGTGGATAGGCCTGCAGACTGAAGGGTCCCAGGTTCGATTCTGGTCAAGGGCATGCACCTTGGTTGCAGGCACATCCCCAGTGGGAGGTGTGCAGGAGGCAGCTGATCAATGTTTCTAACTCTCTATCCCTCTCCCTTCCTCTCTGTGAAAAATTAATAAACTATATTTTTTTAAAAAAAGAAAGGACTGGGAGTGGACTGGTACCAGTATATGGGCTTGGAAAGAGGGAGGTGATCAGGTGCTTCCTAGGTCTGCAAGTCCCACACAAGAAGGTAGGAGAGGGAAACACCAGCAGAGATTTAGCTCTAATAGGGAAGGTTAGGAGTTTAGTTTGGGAACACAGAGTATGAAAATCCTTTCCATCTACTGAAGCAAGAAAACAGCTTCCTCTTTAATCATCAACTACTGCCTGTTCTACATGACTATAATAAAGAAATACGAGGTTTATGCAAGATTGCACTGGTCTCTGATTGCTCTGCATAGGTAAAACACATTGTGAAGGTAATGACTAAGTTTCCCCCACCTCTAGTGCCCTTTAAAGTAGTTAGTGGTTGGCACAAAACACATGCATGCATTGTTGAGATGACTTCTCGTTCACTCCCACAACAACGCGGGTAGCGGAACTGCTAACGTCATTTTACACATGATGAGCTCAAGCCTTGGTGAGGTTAAGGTGCCTGCTCAATTATCACTCCAACGATGAGTAAAGCAGTAGGAGAGGAACGCAGGCCCCTGGGTCCAACTTCCCAGGTTCTCACCACTCTATCACACCGCTTCCCAGGTTACATTCTTGTTAATCAGTAACTGTAAGAATACTGCATTCCTCAAGTACTACATATACGTGAAAAAGAATTTCTAAGTCATCATATTTGAAAAGAGATGAGAGGATGCACAGAAACAGTTCCTTATAAACAGAAACCGTGTAAAACTAGCTATAAGGAAGGGTGTGATCTATTCTGGGGGTGATCCGTCCTTGGACAAAAAAAAAACCTCAACGTTTTTGATCCTTTGAGGCAAAGGTCCCAGATCAATGCCAAATTCCAGAAGATGCAGAACATCTCTCTAAATCGGTATTAGGTAGATGCTCTGATCACTTCATGTTCAAAAAGTGGTACAAGAGGAAGCACTCTGGACTGAGGACCAGACCTCTGTCCCAGTACTGGCTGAGTGACAGTAGGGAGGGCACGAAACCGCTCAGAGCTTCCCGTGTCCTCAATGGTAAAATCAGGGAGAGGAATTCATCCTAAGCAGCTGCAACACTGCAGCTGGGTTTCTTCTTCATATATAGGGTGTCCCAAAATTCACTCAAGACTTGAATTTTGCGTGAGCATTAACAACAACAAAAAATAAAAGCCTAATTTTACTTGGTTTATTGAATCAGATTCTAATATCTGTTGCCCTCTGATTTCAATCCCTTCAATTTGATAAGCATTACCAAGTACCAATGATGGCCCAGGAGCAGGGACAATGAAGACCAATGAAGACCACGGCTTTGCATATGTGCCAGCAAAGCCGTGGAGGCCATTTACCCGATGTGCTATTCCATACATAACCCTATACTGTATACTTTATGAATCAATAAAAAAATTACAATTTTTAATTATAAACCTGTGTTTTCTATCAAAATTACTTCTTGCGTGAATTTTGGGACACCCTATAGCAGTGATGGCGAACCTGTGACACGCGAACTCATTTTTTTGGTTGATTTTTCTTTGTTAAATGGCATTTAAATATATAAAATAAATATCAAAAATATAAGTCTTTGTTTTACTATGGTTGCAAATATCAAAAATTTTCTATATGTGACACGGCACCAGAGTTAAGTTAGGGTTTTTCAAAATGCTGACACGCCGAGCTCAAAAGGTTCGCCATCACTGCCCTATAGAATGCTTCCTGAGATTGGTGCAATGAATAAATTTTTATAAACCAGTCATGTTTAAATACTCCAGTGGGAATGATTTTTATATGGGGAAATAATTGATAATCACCAAGGTTATATGTTTTATAACTCTGGGTGGTTTTACATTAGATTTACTTAGACAGGGGCATACCCTTCTTCATTATTCTTTAAAGGTTGGGGAAATCTTAAGCATTTCAAATCGTGAAAGAAGGGAACTAGCCTCACCTCTACCACCCTCCACAAGCCCTATACGGGCTGCAGCTGGGGCTGCTGCTCCTTTCATGCTTTTCCAGTTGGCTGACATTTGACCCATCTATTTACACAAAGCCCACTAATCTGATTAGGGTTTGAACACCTGGGTTGAAGCTGCTTTTGTTTTTGAGACCCTTAATGAAAATACTATATGGGTTACAAATGCTTAGGAATATGTTTCCGTTGGCCAGGAGTTAGATTTCCCCCAAACAGACACTTGATAAGGAAACGGGAAGTCAGAAATGAGACTAAAATGGGGAAAGAATATTAAGTCAAAGGAAATATGACCTAGGGAAAAAAATGACTTAAGATCTAAATGCCAAACTCTCAGAATTTTTGACTAAAGAGCTAGAGCTTGCTCTTACTCTTTTTTCCTTTTTTCTTAAGGGAGGTGGGGATGGAGCCAGAGTAGAAAAGAATTCAAAATCCCAGGGCATTGGCTGACAAAGTTATCAGCTTACAAAGAAAGCTATTGATTTTATTCACGGCTGGTATTACTAGATGAAAATTTAGCTGAGTGAAGTGCTTTGTGCTGTATAATTTTGAGAAGTTGCACATTTTCCTCATCTTAAGTGTTTTTGTTACTGCAGCTGGGTTGGAACTTATAATTGATATTCCACATTGAAACAGCAATAAAAGTCTGGAAAATCAAATGCTTACCTTCCCCATCAAATGGTCCTTGTCCTTTCAGCACTTTTTTCTAAAAAACAAGAAAAGCAAAAAAGGAAAAGGCAAAGCATACTATATATGAATGAGCCAAATTGAAAATACAATTATTTAAGAAAAAGTACTTATTTTGTTGTTACATGCATTAGATTTCCCAAAGCATACAGCTGATGATCCCTGGAGTGGTTCACTCCTATGACTCCAACAATTCACTAAAACAGTGAAATAAAATGTACAATGTCCCTCACACCCTGTTGAAATAGTTTGAGAATCCTCAAATGACCAGCAGGCTCAGCTCACTTCACTATTTATGACTCACCATCACTGTTAAATTGAACTTTGCTATACTTGCAGAGTTGGGGGGGGGGGGGGGGGGGGGGGGCGGGAGGGTGTGTGCAAAACAAACATAAAATGTTATGTAATTTCTCCAAGGCCATAGGATCTAAAATAACACCTGTTTGCTTGTGTATTACATATGTGACAATCATACAGACTGGTTCCAGTTCTCCGATTAATCAAGAATAGATGTCGCTCCCAAAACAAATGTCTGCCCGATTGCCCAGGTCCACCTTATCTCTGAAGAAGACAGCACATGCACCGCACACTCCAAAATCCCTTTCTCTGGTTTTCCCTATTTCTTTCTGTCATACCTGGCAATTTTTATTTTTATTTTTTACCAATTTCAGCTTTTAGGCCTCTATCAGGGAGCCATAACACATAGTTCACTGGAACCTGAACTTTTGCTAAATGCACTCCAGGATAAATGGGCACAAAACAGGAATGAAATACAACCAAAGGCCAAGTTGGCAGAAACAAGTAACAACAAAGATGACATACTATTTGTGCCTTTTGTGTCTTTGTTTTCTGGCACCAAATTTTAAAAATTCACATTTTATCTGAGGTATTTAGCATGTGAGTGCCATTCAAAGAAATTAAATAATTAATGTAAAATAATCAATAGGCTCAAAGGAAATCAGCTTTTCCCCTCATCAGCTGTGATGAATCGGCAGCCACTGACTGACACCTCTAAATAAGCACCAGATAGCTTGGCCAAAGTCAAGAGTGCAAATCCTGCCCTGCTCTCCACCCCCTTCTGCAGCTTACCTGTATTAAAAGCGTTTCAGGACTCATGCAGCCAATACCTCATTTGCTGTGTGTTTCCCCCATGCGTCCCCAGATTCTGCCTGAGCTTATAAAGCCAACCCAGTGATAGGAGTTTCACGTCCTCCCACAAAGCTGCATGAACTTGGGCTGTGCGTGCCAACCATACAGTGGCCAAGAGATACATGTGCACAGGCTTCATCAACAAACAACAGGATTAAAGAGAACAGTAATGTCTGATCTCCCCGGCGTCCCTCCTCCCTATCTCCAACACCTTCACTTTGGACTGAGTGACATGCCCACTCTTACCTTTATCCTTCCAAGGCTGGAAAACTTCTCCTTGTCTTCCATCACTACTTTCAGAATCGGCTGAGACATTCTGTTCTTCTTCTTCGAGGTGGTAGGACTGTCAAAATCCACGCCACTGACCACCGCCCTGCGATAGGACGTGGACCGCAACCCCCTCCGCAGAGACCCCGGGCTGTCCAGGTCGTTCTCGACCTCGCCTTCGTCCTCCGAGGGGCCCAGCGACGCCCCCAGGCCCTCCACCATGCTGCGCACCTTGAGGAGTCTCTTGTGGGGCTCCACATTCTGACTGCTGCTTTTACTTATCTTAATTTCTGAGGCCAGGCTCTTGGGAATTATCTGCTGCTTCCCCACTTTGAGGGCAGCCGGGCTATTTGTGCTCAAAACCACTGAAGGCGTCTCCGGGAGCTCGTTCTCCTGAGAAGGCAGCCTTTGGAGGGGGAGTTTTTGCTCCAAAGACCTATTCTGGGGCGAGGGTCCCCGCTCAGGGTCCTTAGCTGTCTGGCCGGATTGCAAACGGCAGCCTGGGGAGTCGACGTGACAAGTGAGCCCGTTTGCAGCGGGCGCAGGCAGGGGGCTCGCTGTCGGTCCGACCCGGGCTCCCTCTGGGCTGCAGGGGGCGGATGCGTTAGGAGAAGGTGGGGGGCGCAGCCGCTGCGGCGCGGGCGGAATCACTGTACCATTCTCTGGGGATTTCGGGGAGCCCCCCAACGCCCCTTTGGGGGTCTGCGGTGACTTCAGGCGTCGGAGCCGAGGAGAGACAGACCGGTACTCCGGGGAGACCGTCCTCCCATTGGTCACCGGCCTCCGATGGGTGCACAGAAGCAGAGGACTCCTCTGGACCGTCCTGCCGTCCGAAGCGGTGGGCACCTGGGAGGGAGTCTGCGCCACGGGGAGCGGGCCCCGGTCCTCCACCGGGAAATCCGTGATCAGCAACCCGCTCGGGCTCTGGTAAGACTGGGGTCTCGGCTTGCTCCGGCCCAGCATCTGCGGCTGAGGGGTCGACCTCCTCCGCCACGAAGGGGTTAAACTGTTGCTGGAAAAATTCACTTCGCTCTCGCCGTCCATCGCGAAGCCTGGGGGTGAGCCCCGAGAGGCACAGCACCCAGCTAGTCTCGCCTAAAGAGGGAAGAAGTCATGGAACTTGGACTCCAGGCTCCTCGGCACGCCTCGCAAAGACGCGCACTTCGAGGCCGGCGGTCGCCCGGCTGCTGCGCGTCACTTACCCGCCCTTTCTAGGGCAACACTGCGCGCTCCACGCTGCACGATCCGGGACAGAATCCGGTCCGGGCTGCGCCCACGCGGATTAATCCAATCACCGCCTCGTCTCTCCCGCGCCCAAAGACCACCCGCACGGAAAGAGTTCGCCACCGACTCGCCGGGTGCAAGCTGATGCACATGAAACTTGGGATAAGTTCAGCTTTCTTGGGAAACTCGCCGCCGGACGCTCCCCGCCGCCGCCATCCCGCCGCCCGCCCCTGTCGCTGCTGGCCTCGTGCTCGAACTGCCCGGCTCCTAGGTGGATGTACCTTCGGGGCTTTGCAGAGCTGGGGGCCAAGCAGGGCCCACCGCCCCCGTGGGTGGCCCGGGTACCGGACCGTGGCGCCGCGGCGGGAGCTCTGCAAAGCTCGGCAGCCAACTGAGACTTCGGCTACGCCCCCGACTCAGCCTCGGCCCCGCCCCCGTCTTGGCCCCGCCCACTCCCGCCCCTTTCGCGGCCGCCGCCAGCCACTGGCTTTCCTGCCCCGCGAGCCTTTGATCCCGCCGGGTCCCTGTTGGAAACAGATCTGCACACCTGGGCTGGGTGCCGAGCGACGGGGTTGCAGGCTGGCAACTGGGGCTGGAGGCGGCGGCGGCGGCGGCGGGGGAGCTGAGGGCGCGCGGGCGGGGTGGGGGCCCGGAGCACAGCGTGGGAACGAGCGGGGGATCCCTGCTGAGATGCAATGTACGAAGCTCTGGGCCCCGGGGGATCTCCTGCTTAGAAACCGAGAACGCCAGGCGGAGTAGGGTTTGTGAAATGGGTGAGCTGCAGGGCGTAGCTCCGAACGCAGAAAGCTGGTCCCCTCTCAGTGTTCCGGTGGTCTTAACAAATCCGATGGCCTCGCTCTCCTGCTTGAAATATCTTATAATATAGACTCATAGAGTCGCTTGTTTGTGCCTAGCGTATTTCTGGGGGCATACACGCAGGCCGCTTGGGAGAGGCCTGTGTGGCTACCAAACTAGGGAGGGAGAGTTTTCATTCAAAAATCTTTGAATCTGGTGTGCTTTGAATCGTGGATGTTATCTATTAAGAATAAACGCAATTTAAATTACGGGAAAAAAAGTGTTGGTTTCCAAGCATGCATAGAATAAAAGTCAAAATCCTCTCTCTAGCTTAGGAAGACCCTGCATCATGTGCCTGCCTCTTTCCCCATCACTTTTTCCTTCACGAATCTTAGTCCACACCCACTTAAAGTTTTACAGCCCCAGAGAACCTTCCCTTTTGTTCCTTCTGCCTTGTCACTTCATCAGAGGCCTCCCCTGACCCCCACCCTGAATCAGATCATGGTCCCCCTTATTTATTTTCCCAGCCATCTGTTCTCTTCCTTTTTATAGACTAATCACAGTTTGCTCATATGTAGACATACATATATACATATTTTTATGTTTTGTTTATCTGTTTTGTCTTTATTGTATGATGCTGCTAGAGGGCAGGGGTCATGCTTATGTATTGCTCTTCTGTATTCCAGGCACATAGCAGGCACTTAATAAATATTTATTGAATGAATGAGAAGTGAAGTGAGGACAGTGACCATCCCTTCCAGGGTGCTCCGTGGCCAAATAATAGAAAGTTGGCTGTATCCTGGCCAACCCCCTGCGATATGGGAAGAATAGAGCAAACTTAAGAAGACAAATGATTTTTACACTATAAGAACTGTATAATTAATTCTATTAGCAAGACAGATGGGCTTTTCTCCAAGTTCTCTTTCAGCATTCATGCATTCAGCAGGGATGTAGTGAGCATCCACTGTGGGGAAGTTAGGTTGCTTGTTTTTGCCCTAGAGACGTTGAATGCAATGGCCAAAAATATTAAGAGGACATCTCTGGGTAGTGAGAGCATGATGTTTTTCTTGCTTCTCTATACTTTTTTTGTACTTATCAAATGCTGTACATTGAATATATATTACTTTGATCTGAGATTGTTTTTGTAAACTAGAAGAAATGGCATCAGAAATTTTATAAGAAAAAAATTTTTAGAAAGAAATTTACCAAACATTGTTTGGAAGAAATATGGTTGATTACATACTAAAGCATGCCCAATTTTTAATATAGGATATTTTCCATACTAACACATTTTATTTTATTTTATTTTATTTTTTTAAATATATTTTATTGATTTTTTACAGAGAGGAAGGGAGAGAGATAGAGAGTTAGAAACATCGATGAGAGAGAAACATCGATCAGCTGCCTCCTGCACATCTCCTACTGGAGATATGCCCGCAACCCAGGTACATGCCCTTGACCGGAATCAAACCTGGGACCTTTCAGTCCGCAGGCCGACGCTCTATCCACTGAGCCAAACCGGTTTCGGCTAATTTTATTTTTTTAATAAAGATGCATTTGTATTGATTTCAGAGAGGGAGAGAGACGTACAAATATCAATGATGAGAGAATATTGATTGGCTGCCTCCTGCACACCCCACACTGGAGATCAAGCCCGCAACCCAGGCATGTACCTTGACTGGGAATGGAACCGTGACCTCCTTGTTCATAGGTTGATTCTCAACCACAGCCATGCCGGCCAGGCGAAAGAGCAATTTAGACTTAGATATAGATTTTTCAATAATTGCATATATAGAAAAGAAAAATATAAGCAACATAAATTAAAGTATTTATAAAAATTCTGTGCACTGAGTCTAATTCCTCTGAGTCCCTTTTTACCCAGGGCATCAGTCTGTGTGTTTTTCAGCACACTGTCACTAATAGTGCACCATTTCTTAAAAGGGTGTTCTAGTCTTGTCTCTGGGATTTGCTTCCCAGCCACTGACACTCTTTCTGCAAATTTGAGGCTGGCACTATGTTATTAGACTAAAAGCATAGTTTTCTTGTTCAACTGAGTCATGTCACTGCAAGCTATGCACATTCTCTATTAATGGCCAGAAGGAAGTTTCAACCCTTTCACCACAGTCCTGTATGATACATGAATTGGTTATATCAGCCTCTTGTTGCTTTGGAATTTCTTGAATCTAATATGACACATCTGGCGATTTCTGCTGCCTTTGACTGCATTTCTCAGAATATATGGATCTTACATAGATAGCCCTAAATTGCTTTGAACTCAGTGACATGATGGCACTTCCAGTAGCGATGACCATGTTCACAAATACAGAGGCAATGCCAACTATGTCATGACTGCCACCTGCCCAATGGCTATTTTCTTTTCTTTTTTAAAAAATATATTTTATTGATTTTTCACAGAGAGGAAGGGAGAGGGACAGAGAGTCAGAAACATCTATGAGAGAGAAACATCGATCAGCTGCCTCCTGCACACTCCCCACTGGGGACGTGCCCGCAACCAAGGTACATGCCCCCAACCGGAATCGAACCTGGGACCCTTGAGTCTGCAGGCCGACGCTCCATCCACTGAGCCAAACCGGTCAGGGCCAATGGCTATTTTCTTAATAAGACATACCCCAGTTTCAGAGGATGTTAAAATGTGGGACCAAAGTGTTTTTTAGAACTGAAGAAATATCGTATATAAAACTGTTAGGAATGATATATTCCACTGGTATATTCCCATGCAATATATTTTTTATTTTATTTTTAATTTTAAAAAAAAATTTTAGTTTTCTTGAGATATGATTGACATATATCATTGTATTAGTTTAAGGTGTACAACATAATGATTTGATATGCATATATATTGCAAAATGATTGCCACAATAAGTTTAGTTACTATCAACACCTCACATAGTTACAAATTAATTTTCTTTATGAGAACTTTCTTTAAGAGAACTTTTCAAATACACTCTGCAGTATTATTAACTATAATCACCATGCTGTATATTACATCCCCAGAAGTTACTTATCTTACAATTTTTAGTTTGCACCTTTGATCACCTTTACCCATTGCCCCCATGATATATCGAACCATTAAAATATTAAATGGTATCATGCAGGACACCAGAGGCTGAGATATCAATTATTGCAACATTTACCAATCAAATTTGCGTTGATCACTAATTTTGTGTCTGCCATAATAATTAGGCTAATATGTAAGTGCAATTTAACTCATATTATTACCTTGCAGTTATACCTCATGCATTCTTTATTCATGTATTTATTTTTTTCACAAATACTTATTAAATGCATGTAAGTGTTGAGCACGGGGCTAGGCCTTCCCAAAGCTCATAACCTGGCTGATTAGCTTCATCTAAAACATTACAATAATAACAAGACACCCAAGTTGAGTAAGGGACATGGTAAGCTCTATGAAAGCCTTTGTGAAGGCGTGTGGGTAGAACTGGGCCGGAAGAGTAGGTAAAGTATTGTGAGGTGGAAAAGAAGAAAAGGGTATCCCAGAGAGATTCCCCAATGTGAGCAAAAACATGGGGGCTTAGCTGGAGATATTTATTAAATGCCAATTATATGTCAATCACTATTATTCATTATACATAGTTTAATCTCACATTAATTTTGTCTCAATTTAAATATGAAGAAGCAGAGGCTCAGAAAGCTCTTCTGTTGGTCAGTGGTTGAGTCAGAATCTTACCTTGGATCTGTTGACTCCTGAACCCATGCACTTCACAAACCAGAAACCAAACTTTCAAGAACAGAGAGCTTGCATTTGGAAGTTGTGGGAGGTCAGTATGACTAGCTATGGTGAGAAAGGTATATGGTGTGTAATAGACTGAGGGGTCTGGATTTTACCTGGATGGCAACTGACACTCCCTTTCTGGAGGTATTTAAGCTTTTTTATCCTTTAAAATAATGAATCTGATGACACCAGTGTCAGAAATGAAAAATGAAGAAAAAAAGCAACAATAGATTTGGGCAACTAAAAAACATGTAATCATTGTGCATTAAGAAAATCCACATAAACCCATAAAATCTGAGGGGAAATCTTCTCGTAGAGGGTATTAGAGAAAAAATATATATATATATACACACACACACAAAATATTAATATCTATGTCATTCATAAATAAAAATCAATAAGAAAAAGATAACAATAGAAAAAATGAGCCAAGAGTGAGAATACGGATCTTGGAAAAGACACAAGTATCCACTATACATAAAAATATACTCAACCCCAACAGTAAAAACAAAATAAAACTATTAAAATTATAATTTTTCATCCATTAGGTTGACAAAGATTTTTTAAGTGAGAGGTAACATCCACTCTTGCAGGGAAAGAGTATCTGAATCATCACTGATGGTAAGAATGTAAATGGGTACAACCTTTCCCTCCAGCTATTAGATGATTGTCAGCAAAACCTTGAAAACAAGCAAATCTTTGATCTCCTAATTTCATGCACAGGAAATCCTTACTGTGTACAAAGAAGTATGTTAAGGATGTTCACCAAAGCATTTCTTACCATGGCAAAAAATTAAAAGCAGGCTAAGAGTTTATTG